AGTCGTAATCGTAATTCTTTGCCAATTTCTGTGAACCAATTACAGAAATTTGATCATCAGCGTAGAGGCTACGTTCGGTAAACATCTTGTGGGTTGTATGCCAATTTAAGTCAAAGCCTATTATCGTGGTTTATTATAGGTCAATCCGGTATCATTCGAGTATAAATCAAATTTCCAGTCAGTGTAGCGGAACAGATTTTATAGCATTACTTTCTAAGACGCGACAAGAACAGAAACGTTTCTTATAAGATTTGAAGTTTTTTTATTATTTGTATAACATTCGCTTCATTGCAATACTGTTAAAATGTTTTTGAGGTCCAAAAATAATAATTATCCAGTTCATGTCTCACGTATTTCTTTTATTATACCAATGTTAATTGTTTTTAATAGTTTAAGTTTATTGGAAGTTTAAAAGAATATGATTAGATACGCATGAAACTTAGATTCATAAAGTTTTTATAATTAAAGAGGAAATTAAAAGCACTTGAAATATGCCAACTTAACTGAGTTTCTAAGCAATCATAATGTACAGGAATAGCTTAGAGCCTGTTACAAATAATGACAGATTTCGATTTCACCTAGGCATAAAACTAGCAGTTTCTTTAGATCGAGAGTTTCGTAATGTTTAATCTATACATTTTTCTTATTATCAGATACGTAGAAACTACCTGAGACATCAGAGTGCCTCAAAAGACTATAAAAATCTCAAAATGTTACAAAACTGAATATTCTAATGCAAATTTATCAAATTCAACACAACAAAACAGATTATTTTATTTCAGTGAAGTGAGTATCATATAAACCTTACCTACAGTTCACATTAACCATTCTATATCAAATTTGTTGTTGTATAAAAGACTGACTATTTAGGTAATACAGTGTTTCAAATCTTCTGCATGCATCATTTTAAAGTTACGAAGTATGACTAGAAACTTCTTATGGAAACCAGAACATAATTATAATACGATGGAAAGATGTGTGAAACGAATCACGTCAAAGTATATATATAATATAATAATAAAAAACATGTAGAATAAAAAAGGTTTGGTAAATCAAACCAAAATAAAAACAATGAAGCTCACGACTAGCAGACCTAACTTAATTCGCTTGTTGTTATACCCGAAGAAATGAAGTCCATTTATTGAAAAGCTAAGTTTCTTTCCCTCTTTTTAAAGCATATTTTAACATAGATGCTCCAGTAATGTTGAATGAATCTTTTTAATGACATAAACTAAGAAAAAAGCAAAACAAATAAGTGCTATATGAATAAATGAAACCAAAGTAAAGAATATAAAGAATTCTGTTTTATTTCCAAATGTTTGACACTATACAAAATATTCATATAAAATAGCATGTTCTAAACACGAATATTGCCACTGCCGAGGTCTTTACACTATAAAGAACGAACAATATGTACGATGATGAAGAATACAAATCAAGACACTGAATTTATATAAATTATTTCATTTAGAAACAGCTACCTTTCGTTTCCCACGTTCAAGGATGAAACACTTAATCTTAATGCTCATTTGAAACAATTTAATTTGAAGCATTGAACTCCATTCAACATTCTCGAAAGACAAGAATTGTTTTAGTTATTGAGTGATACACATGTATTTTCTCTTTCCTATACTTTGAGAACACCGTTTCTTATATTTTACCACTGTAAGAAACTTAACCACTATAAAAAAGGTTAACGTTGTCAGTGTGCATAGTATGATTGTAACGATATATCGATTATTATTTTATGTTAATGAAATTTCCTTTTATTTTCAGTGTATAAAAATTCAGTAAACTAGGAACTGTCTTATAATCAAGTGAGTAAAAAACCATTCTATATCAGTTTTGTTATTATATAAAAAACTCAGTGTGTTTCAAATCCTCTGCGTACACCATTTTGAAGTTATGAAGAATGGTTAAAACTTATGTAAACCAGAACATAATTATAATACAACAGAAAGATGTGCGGAACGAATCCGTCTAAGTATATTATATAATAACGAAAAACATGTATTAATCACATCTAAGTATATAATATAATATAATAATAATCTTGTGTTTAATGAAAACATTTTACAAAATATTTTCAATATTTGAACATGTTTATACATAAGAAAGGCTGATAACACAATATGTACATACAAAGTTTTATATTCAATTGAATTCCTGAGATTCTACAAAGCAGAAAGTACCCATTTAAACATCCTACGAAACTAGGAAAGTTTATTAGCTACTGAGAAATATACATCAACGACTATAGTTGAAGACAAACATTAGTGTTTTTGGGTTCTCTAAGTAAGGTATATTATTTTGTTTATTTATTAGTTTTTTCATTATTAATATTAGTTATACTAGTTAGTATATCGAATGTAATTACTTTTATTTTCATTAGGCGTTTCTTATTATACTTCTGTTATAAACATTGTTTTGTATTGTTAGCTTAAAACTTTGGTTTAGGATATTCTAAGTTGGCCAAACCTTGAGAGATATTATTGGGATTGCGGCCGAAAATATCGTTAACAACGAGGGTACTCAACTGATGAAGCAATGTATTCTAATCTTTAATCGTATCGGAAGACAAAAACACAATTTAGTAGTACAGTTGATTAATGAGATAACGATATAAAGGAAGTAGTTCCGCAGAAAGTAATAAACTCAGTGGAAGGACAATATCGAAGGTTTGACTTGAGATTTATTATAGATTTAACGTATGGAGAAGATTAAGAAAAGGACTAAGAAGAGGGATTTGTGGCGTCGTTCCGTTCTTGATGTTTCTAAAAGATGGGAATACTAACTTGTTTTGATCTAAGAGAGTGTTATAAGTTACTCGACCAGGAACATGATTAGCCGTTCTTCATGAAAATATCAATTCAGTAGAACCATCGTTTATTAACACTAAACTTAGGACTAATTTTGACAAAAATTTTACAATAGAGTTCGACTAATTTCAAAATATATAAAATTTCAAAACCCACGCAAGTCAAAATATTCTACTTTTAATAGCATACATTTTATATTATAATTTTGAAACTATTACGAATTGATTTTCTCCAAAAATACATAAATAAATAAAAGCAAAGTAGTCTAACTTTCTCAGTTAATCTTAGAAATAAACTTGAAGCTTGGATTTTTCTTTTAAAATGATTAAAATAACGACTCTGTTTATTCGGAGACCAGGGGTTAAACACAAAGTAAGTATCGATATAGTAACATCAAAAAAAATTAAACCATAACTCAAGCAACAGAAGTGTAGTTATGGACGTAGTGAGAAGTATATGTGGATTGGTCAAGTTAAAAAAAAATGAACCAAAAACATGAACACTTTAGTGTGTGCTAAATATCGGTATAAGTTTAACTATTGGATTAAACACAGGAAATTAGTAAATTTAGATATGAATAGAAAGGAAATCAGATAATCTCAACATTCACGTAAAACCCATATTTACATATCATATATATTGCTCATAAAGTCAGGAAATATTGTTTGTTTGCTATTAAGTACAAACTGCACAAAGGACTATCTGTCCTACCCACCACAGAGATCGAACCCCGAATTTTAGCATTAGAAACCACTAAACCGCCTGGAAGAAAGACAAGAAGTAATTTAATCTGTGAAATATTAGATTCTATTCACCTATCCTAAAATTAAGGAAATCTGAATATCTTGTGTGTAATGAAAACAGTTTAGAAAAGTTTTTCAATATTTGAAATGTTTGTAAGTCTGGTAACACAATACGTACATTCTGATATTATTAGCAACAAAAACACGATGATAATATGATTAGTTAGTGGTTATCAGAAACATTATGATGAGTTTCACCATGGTTCCTAATTAATACACTGCCTAAATTATTGCTTGAAAAAATATTACAATACCTTTTAAAAAAGTTTTGAAGGTTGGTTTATTAGAAAATAAAATCAAACATTCACAAAAGCAAGTTAGTTTAGTAGGCTACATGTTACGGGGAAGGCTTTTGAGTCTCCAGCTGAAGCTATTATCGAACAAGACAACAGTTGAGTTTAAGAACGTGAAAAGGGAATCTCATACAGTGTGCTCTATGACAAAAGTTTTTACCCTACAGACGTAAAGGCTTCCTTGGGTAAACTGCTTGAAACAAGTCCACACCTGGGTTTTATATTCCAATATGAATTAATAGTTTTTATATTACAAACTACTCTGATATTAGAATAAGTGCTTATTTTATTTCAAAATTATACTTTTACCAGGAAATAAGCTATCGTCGTTAATTTCGGTAAAAAGGTAACGCCACAATGATACGTTTTTGGACTTTAAGATTTTTTAACATAGACCATAGATGAACGTGACTGATCAAGTGTTTGACTTTCGGAATAATCAGAATCATTGCTATAATTAAGACCTTAAGAGATGATTTCATAAGAAAACCGAGAACCCGACTAGTATATACCAATATCTCAAGAATAAACAAGGTCTGAAATATAAAAACAAACAAATGTTCGAAATGTTAGAGTAACTACAGCTAACTTTCTAGTAAACGTCAATAACCAAAAGCAGTGTGGTGGTAATACTCACACTTATGGAAGTGATAAATCTACTATATAACATCGGATTGATATTGTTTAGCTTTCTAGTTTAACGTGTCAATAAAACTGGTGTATTCGATAGATGTAAAGATAAAATATTTTTATAATGATTATTAAATTTATACTAAAGTTTATCCAAGCCCGGCAATGTTTTTAAATTGAGGGTTTTAGTATGAGAAAATACTCTGAATAATTAGTAAGTTTTATAAAACCAGTCTTTTTTTTTCTACGTTTACTAGTTTATTTGCTCTAAATGCTTTGTTTTATTTTTTGCTATACACTGAGCATTATTCTAAGCTCTGATAATGTTCCTTTCGAGTGAATTAAATTATGTGATACTTAAATAAGAAAATTCCACAAGAGGTCATTCAAGGACTCTCAACACACCTGTGAGAAACAAAAACAAAAACTTTTAATAATTTAGTTTTACAGCCATAGAGAAGTTCGTAGGTACATTAGAAACTCACACGTTAAAACATACATAATAATATATATAGGCTTGGTCTGTCACATACAATCACTATATAAAACGTAATTCCTTACAGAAAAAAAGACTAATACAAAAGCCATTTTTCGATGATATGTAATTGAGTGAATATGAATGCGATCAAATTACAAAATAATGTTCCAAAAATTTTCTTAACAAAAATACCCAAAAAACATTCACACCAAACATTCACAAGCATTCACACTAAACACTAAAAGTTAAATTGCTAGACACCATAATTGTGTTGTTAAAACTAAACTGCTGGATCATAAGCTATAAAATTAAGTTTGGTGACCTAGCTAGACGTCTAAAAAATCGTTTTCGGTCGACTTTCTATGTATAAAATATTAATAAAAAGTATAATATATTCTATAAAACGATTTTTTAGTTAATAACTAAGGTTTGACTAGATGTTACTAATAGAAACAAGTTAGATTTTTTATAATATTTTAAAGAAATTATGAAACATAAGGTAAAAATATTTTGTAATATATTTTTCATATCAGTTACTGGTATAAACAAATTTCTAATATTCTAGTTAAAATTTCATTACTTTCAATATAATTATTTTTATTTTATTAAAACATTAATAAAAGCTACCCCTAAAAACAAGCACTTAATATTACACATTTCGTATTGAGCGCTTTGAAATAAGCAAACTTCAAATGCCAAAAATATCAAGATTTTTCTGCTCTGAAGAGAAACTTTCCTAAAGACAACTCACATGTAACCTAACGTCAAACAGAAGATGATCACCTTTACAGTTTACATCAGTTGACGTGTATTTATAGATTAATACAAATGTCATTCTTCAATCGTGTCTGCTGAGAAAAGCATGAGCACAACCTTTCTGTAAAAATTAGTGGACAAAAATGATTTATATATTTCAATCAATTAGATCTTTGAGTTTTAAAAAAATATAGTGTCTACAGGTTACAATATTCACGCATGGAATTTTTAAAACACCGAAAGATTCAATTATTGTTTTGTACGAACGATTCTGTCGTGGTCCAATTACTTTGAGCGGTTTATGAAAACTTGTATCAGATATCCAGTGACTTCTGTCGGCATTTGGAAGTGGCAGACATATTTGATAGAGAATTTCTATATTTGGCTTTGATATGGAGAAAAGTATCGGAATCAGCACCGTTGGATAACACTGCTGGCGATCGTGAATGAAAATCTGTCCATGATGGTTTTCTATCGATGATTTTCACCTGACAAGGATCACTTACGTGATGACGAGACAAAAAGTGCTCCAAAGTGTCCCAGCCACCACCCACACGAACCATTACGTGACGACCTTTCAACAGCTGTAAGACAGTAAGCACTTATTAGTCGTTAAAGACATTGTTAAGTAAAGTATGTGAATCTAATGAACTTCCATGCATGACATTTGATTTCAAAGATCAGTGATAGAAATACTGAGTGTAGTTTTTGTTCTCCAAACTAAGAGTACTTTATGGAGGGAAAAAAAAAACATCCTATATTCCAACTTTTCAAT